TAGCTCTGGAGCTCAGAGAATTAGGCATTTAAAAAATCGATCGATTTCAAATAAGTAGTCCTGCGTGAAAAAACGTTTTAGAAATCAAATCATTGGATTTGAACAACCTATTGGAATTTAAGTATGTTTCTTATACCAGTTCAAAAGTTAGGCACAGGTAGCGGATAAAAACAACGTGTATCTATCTCCACGGATATGCCAAGGAATTGGTAAATCTTACTTGGATTCTCGTTTATCCAGTCGCCTAATAGCGTTTCTTGCAACGATGTGCATCGCGTAGTCGAATGTTCCGCTGTGTCCAGCACAATCCATCTCCACAACTGATCTTGTTCTCCACCAACTGTATGCGCCCAATCTGGCAAACGTTGATCATTAAATGCTAATGGGAAATATTGTTCCACAATGACTGTCTCGTACGGAAGACCGGGCAACTCATCTGTCATACCTTCATCGATTAATGAGGACAATGCCAAGTGATCATACACTTCAGACGGTATATCTTGTCCATTATGTTGTTCCACAGTCCACGTGGATTGTCTAAACGTGGTCGAGAGGCGATGAAATGAGCTCCGGCTATTTCGAGCTGTCAATAGAGGATTGGCACGTACAATCGATTTTTGATTGAGCACATTCACTAGGGTGGTCCACAGTGTGGATTTGCCTGTAGCAATCGAACCAATCAAGAGTATTGGTTTGTCCAGTTGGACTGCTTGCCAAAGTTCAATTATCTATAGATAAGCGAAACGCGAAGGTGATGTGATTAGAGCAACATTACTGACTGACCACAGCTGATGAGATACGGAACAGTCTGAACAAGCCTGCCTAACTCGTAGTCCATACAACGAAGGCAGAAAATGTGGTCAAACATGTCGCGTTCGATTATTAACGTGCTCAGTAATAAATTATTCAGCCAGGTAGTAACATCGTCCTTGAAAGTTTTTACAAACATTAACCATGCACTTTTGTGTGCCGGTTTTGGTTGCTGTCTTTTGGTTGCCCATTTGGATAAAAGAGCAAAATGTAGATTGGAATTTTGAAGCAAATTAAAGCGGAAGGTGGGGAATTCATATAGAGTGGTGTTAGGAGAATAACGAGTGGATGTACAAGCGCCACTATTTGCGACACCTAGCCATCTATATTAGTCAGTGTCTCTAACCATCGATGACCATGGTCTCGGGGTCCCCAGACAGGGAGCCCAACGGGGCCTATGTGACCTAGTCTCCTGGTTAGGGTTTTCATACTCTCATGCCAGGTCTTAGTTTGACCACCCTTTATTTGTTTCCAATTGCTACAAGCCTTGGCAAACATCGTTCAATGCGGCAACCTATCCGGTGACAAACGTAGCACATGTCCCAACCAGCGTAATCTATGGAGGTCGATCATTTGCTCTAGTGGACAACCGCGACTACCAGGTAGTAACGTCGTTCTTGTATGTACAAGTGTTGATGGGTGAGTGTGGATTTGTTGCATTTATCTGTGTTCATGATCAAGGACGTTTTCTTACAAATAATATATATATATATAATATATATGTGGGTGGGTGACAAGTGAGGGAATAATGAGCACACAATAAGCGTCATTTCTGCTACTTAGGTACGAGATTCTCATCTCCCGGGAAGGTTTATCGTTTTTGCGATTCTCGCATGCTCGAAATATATCCGACTATCTCAAGTTCACTGAATTTGAACGTCAAACTTGAACGTGCAATAGGAGCTAAGCGATTGTCATTTTTTGTGCACATACTAGGTCTGCCTGATCACTGCCTTCGAGCAGGACAATAATCTCCGAGTGGAATGCTAAATCTATGACTATAACTTCATTCCTACCGTCAGCTGGAACATAAACCAAAAATTTCCCCTTTAGGCTACAGGGTCTAGGGTATGGTTAAATGCACCGGAGTATGCTGAATTCACAAGAAAATGAGATCAAATTGCTAATATAGTGATGAGTCGCCAACGGTCGAATGACGGTACAATAGAAACGATACGGTAAAATATATTATAAAATACTACTATGCTATACTATATACAATTATAACTCTTACAAATAGGATCAACGGGTTTCAGAATGATACCTACCTTTTCGATCTGACCAGGAATAATAGCCAAATGTTTGAGCTTCAACTCCGCGACCACTCGACCGACAAAAGCCCAAGACGTTCGCGGGACAATCACCCGTGTAGCTCTCTGAATGTTGGTTGCTGTCGCGGCGGGTAGAATAACAGCAAATGAAGCCAGGCAATCTTCTCTAGTCAACTGACCACCAGCCACCGAGTCATCCTGGTTACATCCCGTGATTAGTCCCGGCTCTATGGACCCAAACCACGCATCAGCCAAAGACTCAACAATCACACTTTCGGCCAGTTGATCTTCTTCGCGTTGCATTGTATCCACCGACTGCAAGCCCCCCTTACCGCGGTGCAATTGAAAGTTCGTGAAGCGTCTAGTCCAACATAGGTTAGCTATTCGCAGTGCTCTACAAAGAGCAGAGACTGGAAGCATCGAGCTCCCAGGAAGCTGAAACATTTGTGTCCCGTGGGCTAAATGTACTTTACTTAAAAATCGGACAAGTAATGACTTGACAGCGTTACCAGTGTACCCAGGCAAATGAAGATAAATAGCACAATCGGCAACAAACGACGTATCCGGCAGTGTCAAATGCGCCGCGCGAAATTGGAGCTAGTGGAGCAAAAGAAACAGATACCTTTTATTAACACAACGTCTATCAAAATTCATGTTTGAGTGGTTATATAATTAACTCAATTATCGCGTGCGAAAAGGATAGGAATAAAACAAGCAGTATTGACAGAAAAAAACAGATGTGAATAAATAATCGGTGGTGAGTTGATACTACACACTGTGGTTGCCTTTCGGAATAAGCACGGAGTATGCATGTATTGCCATGACCAATGGAAATGGCCCGGGCATACTCTGTTTCAGCGCGTTCTGAACGAGTCCATTTAGATGGAGATGTCAATACTACGAATGGTACAGATACCGGACAGCTTTCGCATTCCGTTTTAGGATTCAAATTATTCCGAGAAGTGGTTGGTGAACGAAACCGGTGACTGTGGAGGAACTTCGTGATTCCTCTACACTGATTTTACCGGCATTCATGAAGATCAGGTTGGCATAAATTCCAACTCTTCGATGGTACGCTCTATGGTACAGATTATTTGTTAAGTATAACAAGGACGCACATCGCATTGAAAGGAATGTTCAATTATCAAGCTAAACTAATGCTTGCTCCTGAGCTACTTTCTATGCATGCAGTGATTCTTATCCTTGCAATCTTAGTCTAACGGAATTCTCTGTTAACACATTCACACCGCTTTAAATATTCTAATGTCCCGCTTCTAGTCTTGCACACAACCGGGAAACCGAAAGGGATCAATCAAAAATGCAGCACAATAGTGTATGGTCCATGGTTCTTCAAAGTGAAACTGAAATATGTACAGGAAAGTCAATGGTTTGTTTGTCGCGGTCGAGTCTTCGAAAGTCACCTGAAGCACTGAATAACCAACACCGTATCCGTTAACCAGTTATCATTGCTTAGATCACGTTACCAAGTGGTTGGTGCAATCAATGATGCAACACAATCTTGGAGGTCTATCTGATCAGAGAGATTCCAGGGTCATAAATCGCAAAACAACCGAGGACAACTAAACACACTCGTTCAGCTACATTTTTCGTTATCACGCAACGTTCTTGGCATTTCGTGAGATGATGCTAACCAAGTTACTTAATCAAATCTTGTGCGCACAAAAGTGTCTGACGAACTCAGTCAAACATTCGTGCAAGTGATCCCCCTCTCGCAACTATCGTCCGCTGAACCAATCCTTGATTGTATAAAAACCAGATTGTTTTACAGCGTGGTGAATGATGTGATTCAAAGGAATTTTAACATCTCGCAATATTTATCTTCCCTCTGCCCTGCAACTAAGTGGATAAAGTCTACTCGATGTTTCAATTTCCTTGAAAATTATCATCCTAAAAATCTCCTCTAAATCCTCAGCAAAAACTACTCATACAAACAGACTTGAGACAAGCGTAAATCAGTAAAGCTGCTAAGTTCCCCAGATCTGTATGAGGTTTCCGCTCAATAATCATGTTCTCCCTCCCCTGGTCTCTGTTCAACCCCACTACGAATGGCGACCGTTGACGTTCGTATTGATTATGCCCAGTCAAGCGTTTTTGGTGATTATAGATTGTTTTCTTCATTTTTGGCTTCCTTTTATTGAATACATAGGAATAGCATTTTCAGGAAAGTAGAAGCGGACAATCAAAGGGCTGCCATACAACACACAAATGGGGATAGCCAGGTGTTGGTTATAGAGTTAGAACGCATGTCTTCTGGGATGATAATTTGGTGACGTTACACCGGACCACCACACTAATGGTTGTGTACACAACCAAAGACATAACTCGAAGCACAATTGAATTCAACCTTTTTTCTGAGATTAAGCTTGCCCTGCCTCACATAAACACACACACATACTTAGAAAACTCCCGAAGGAACTGGATGTTTGAAAACGGGATGGTCTCATTCGCGTGCCGTTCCCTTCACCATAAGATTATTTGACACAAACTTCAACTACCTAGAGAAACTCAAACCCCAGTCACCATGATTTCTCTGTCCCTATTCATCTTCACACTGGTTTCAACATTCCAGTCTTCCTTCTAGCCGTGCCTGAAAACGGGCAACATAAACCGCAGCAAGCAGATGCATGTTTTTAATGGCCGTAAAAACTGAAAGTGAACAGCTTTAATTGGGATTGTGACTGTAACTGCTGTACGCGTAGAGCTAACATACCATATTTGTTTGAGCTTGTTGAGAGAACACATGCTCATAAACTGAACTACAAGTGTGCCCGTTTTAAATCAGCCGATTGATTGTTCTACCTTTTTTATTCTCCCCCCTCATTTGGCTTGGATAGAACACACAGATGAAAAGAATTATGTAATACGAATGGACACCAATCACACTGTGTAAAGTGCAAAGATTGTAACAATAATTATCACTCACCGACAAAGAATGTTTATGTTAACCGCAAATCTATAGTGCTAGCACATCCAATACTGTACGGTTTCTAGGTTTAAAATTTGTCCAGGTTCTTTGAAGCATCAATGAGAGATAGGATAGAAAACAGTGTTTGTAGCTTTTTCCAAATAAAACAACTATTCTCACTCACTCGAACAGTTTCAGGCAGTTCGCGATAGTCAGATAGCCTCATTGTGGTGACCAAGCCGAAACCGGGTTGTACCACCATTTCACGACCAAGGATCCATTGGGAAGACACTGTTGGTAAGTAACGGAATAAGGAGTAATGAAGCGGTGCTAATTGAACGGATTTCTCAATAAAACAAATTATGACTCAGCTTATGGTGCTGTTTTTAAATATCTATGAGCTCAAACATCCAAACACCGGACGCATTAGCAACTCATTTTTATCAGGCAAACTTTGACGAGACTTCTCGAAGAAAATCAATTAGATCTACTGATTCACAAGTTTGTTTCAATTCTAGCAAATTCATATAAGTTTTTCTTTTGAGTATATTCAAGCGCTCTAATTTATGCAGCATTTAATGTTACAAATCTTGTTAGTGACTCGCTTCAGAAGGGGCTTCCCAACTTCTTATCGAAACACGAACCCTAGATTTAGTCGTAGTGAGCACTGATTACTGATAAGTACTCAATAGCCTAAGGACGGTCGAGATTGAATCCACTCTTGCAATAATTCATTCTGCCATTCACGCCTGACCATGCTGACCGATTTATCGATCCATTTGGATGTGGTTTGCTTCCTTACTCGGCCGACCGAGGACAGTTCCCACCGGGTTTGTTCATTCTCGTTTAAAGTTCACACGATAAATGGTTAACAACAAACTACGCTGGTGAGGTGGCGGGTGGGAAAGAACAGGCAAATTTCACTCTATCGAAACTTTCATCCTTGCTAGGTAACGCACTAAAAAATATCTTTGTCTAATTAGAAATCACTTCACTCCGACTGAGCACGGTTTGGTAAACCTGGTCCATTCGGTGACGTGCTACAGCAGAGGAACTAATAACTGTCGGGTTTGTGCTAGAATGCGGTTGGTTAAATGCATTTGAGATTGAAAGCGTATACATTTTACCTTGATATGTGTGTTTGTGGTAGGCACGAACAGGGTAACTGTGGCTTGAAGTGAAACACATGATGCTTAAACTATTCATTTGAGTGGATAATTAGATGCGAATATTTTGGGGCAGGAAACAGGCTGACAAAACCACGGACAACGATAGGCCGTCTGTGAACCAGCTTAACACGTACCTTCCGAATTGCGGACATGACGCGGTGATGCGGAATCAGGTATCTGCAATAGAGTCGGAAATGTGAATTACATGCAGCCGGATGAAAAGGGAATTGAACGAGGCGTTAAAGAATTGCCGGAATCGACTTACGTCCCGTCGATCGCAAAGATTCAGGTCCATCCGAATCCTGGTCATACTTCGAATGATGAACTCAATCAATCCGAGGGGTGCGTCCTGAAATCAACAGATAAAGATTAGTTCGAATTTTATTTCAACACAGAGAATTGATTTGAAGTGAAAGCGTCTGCTATATGAATGTGATTAGCTTACTTGTATATTAGATATGAACAACAGACTGCCCGAACGAACACATCGACAGAATCGATCTTGAAAGTGATCAAGAATTGGTGAATCTGAGGATGAAGAGGACGGCGACAAAATTGTTTGGTGCGGTGAAAATCGGACCATGCGTCTGCCGAGAATCCTCGAAAGGTACCCCATCAAAGTTTGTCTCCCACTTCCGATTGGGCCTACAATAGTCCCGATCTAAAAGGTACAATACAGAAACATGTGTACTAAAAACGCTGGCGGTTAAAAGAAACTTGAAGGAACAATGGAAAAGACAAGCGATAATTCCGCATGCTTAAAGTGGATATTTTTTTATTTGAATTTGTTTTTTGCCTTTAACATTACTCCATATCTTTCACTATCTACGTAACCACCGGATGCCAAATACTGAAGCCGGAAATGCTCCTCGTTTATCTGGATGCTGACCTAGTATGTGTACCTTCAAAAGCTACCAATCTGCTTCTATCTTCAATGCTGAATATGGAATTAGGATCTTTGATTTCCTCATCTGAAGGTAAAAGTGGAGAGGAATACGCACAAACCTTTTCTTTTATTAAACACCACAGTTTGGTGAGTGAAAGCTGAGATGAACGCATACTCACTAGGGTCCACTGTTGATTGAGTAAACCCCCTGGGACTTGAAGTGGGTAGCAATCAAATACCCATCCATTAGGATCAGTGTGTTGAGCAAGGAGACAGTGAATCTTTCACCAGCCAGACTACCGACAACTCGTTGGAATTAAGGACTTATATTGAAAACTCTCATCATGCAATCCACTCCCATATTTCTCCCGGGGTTTTTCTATCACCTATCTATTTTGTTCACTTGACATCCAGCACCTGGACATTCCCGACCCAATCATCACTGTGGACTCAGTTTGCTCTACTTGTCAGTGTGGACCGATCATTACACTCCCTGATGACTTTCGGTTTGGATCATGAGTGTCTGGGGCTTCATCCCGTTGACCGCACTCTTCATGTATTCATTCTTATTTTACTTACATTACGTGCATCAGGCATTTGTGTTCCGCTTTGACGACTCACTTTGAAATCAATCAGTGCTGTGCCCAGGAGAAGCAATTCTCTGGAATTTGGTACCGGGGGTATCACATATCCGGATCGTTGATCGTATCCCATCCAGTCAGCTGTATACCAGCCGAACGGATGATCATGGTAGAACTGTCGGGCAACCAAACGGACATCCTGTATTTGTTCAGCTTCTGTGGACCGAATCAGTTTGTGCTTGATCATTTGGAGCCAAACAAAAGACGCCAGATGAGGAACGGGATCGTTGATCAGACCTGAAAACGTCAGTGGTGAAATGTATCTTAGTTAGCCGGAGAAAAGTAGTATCCCATATTGTTCGGTTCTATGTACTTAAAACCCTATTAGTGTAACCGAAATAGAGGTCGGATCATAATCCCATGTCTCACAACATGGAATGAGAATATGGAGACAGAAGCATTTTTCGCTGACAGAAACCAAAATCAGCGCACGAAAGTGGATTTCAGAACTGAAATAAACTGGACCTATTTGCGAATGGACCAGGAAAGTATTGGAAAAGAAATTTCTTCTGCCAATTTTCCTTCAGTGCAAAATCATTGCGAATGTGTTTGTAAACAATTGTACTTTTGAAGACAGAGTAATCAATTTGTCAAACCCGATTTGCACGATTTATCCAGGGATCTAGTTTATCCCAATTTATAACCTTATTAATTAAACGTGTGCAATCTTGAATTCAATAAACAAAGAGGTAACTGATATTGATATTATTATAAATCACAAACTACACTAAGTGCAAAAAAGACGACAGTTCTCAGTTCAAAAACTGTCATAAACGTCAATCACATGCACCGTTTGGACAACAATTTACCTAGGTTTTTTGCTCTTCTATGTTGATTATTTGGTAGCTAGAGGTAAAACAAAACAACCCTGTGCTTAGTTCGACGGGAGTTAGCAACGAGGACGGTGTTGAACGTGATGCGTGATGTAGGAGGGCTGAACAAAACTTTCAAGATACTCGAGATAAACGAGTACGAGGTGAAGATGACCGGGAGCAAGGAAGTGAAGAGCCTTTTTTGAGCTGAAATGCTAGGAAGCAGTGGTATGTTGTTTCGGTCTGGATGGGTCTCATCAGCAGTGTGAATCCAATCCGACCAAACTAGGGATCGAACTGTATGATATGGGTGAGTGTCGTGAACAGTGGTGCTCGTACATCTCGATTTCTTTGCAATCTTAGTCGACTGAAATTCTCCATGTTCTCTTCCAATGTGCTTTCAAATTTCCAATCTTTCTTATACCCTCTCATGGAATTGGGTTGCAAAAAGGCAGCAACCAAAACCGGCGCACGAATGTGTTTGGTCAACGGTTGAACAAAATGAAACCGAAACTGTCTGGTGGCTTCCATTCCAGGCAAAATACGAAAAACTCGACGGATCGATACATGCATGTGAGATGGGACAGGTTAGCGAGCATCACGCACGCACGCACGCACGCAGACACACACACACACTCACTTCTCGTTGCATGTGACAATTCGAGAAGAACACATCCCAGAACGTTTCGTCTGTGTTGTTCTAACACTGAACGCTGTGAGTTATTCGGTCCGTTCA